CCTGGGACACAACCAGAATAGTTCTCTGTAATCTCTTACATGAAACAGGAGGTCTAAAAATACCCTTTTACTTCTTGCAATTTAGTTTCCTATTAAGTTGTTAGTAGAAATCCACAAATCCTTGGGTTTTAATCTCAAGACAACAACTGGGACAATTTGCATCCCGTTACCATTTCAGACCTTTGCCCTGGGTTTGTGTTAGTCCAGCACAGCCAATGCAGGCTTGGACACACATATGCCTCGAGTTTATACTGTCAAAACTAATACGCAAGAGCCTGGTATGAGCTACTTTCATAATGTGATGCTGCAGTAAGCAAACAAAGGTTATAAGATAAAGACACTGTACAGTCATCTGATACAAGAGATATGAAATCAAATAGAATTTTCACTTATCCTTGAAAGGATAAAAAAATCTTGAGATGAAGGAGAAATGGAGAGTTAGATTTACTTTGCCAAAACTTAAAAATTCATAGTCTATATCTTTTGTGTTGCTGTTTTTACAGTTGCTCACTGATGACATTTTTAGGATGAACAACTTCTAAACCCCAAAATTTTCAATTCATTCTTTACACAGAATGATACACAATTTTTTCTACTCCTACTAACCCACAGAGGAAGCACGTTTCTAGTGCATTAGATTTGTATTTTAATTATGAAGCTAAAGTTAGTTTCTGCATAAATCTAATACCTGCCGAGATAAATAATTTTTTTGTCTTAATTTGGTACCTTAAATACAATTGTTAATCTTAATTAACCGGTGGAGTTCCGGGAGGAGCGGAGCGGCGCAGAGCAGGGGAAGCCGGGCTGCCGGAGCTGCTCTGAGCTGCGGCGGCCGCCGGCCACAGCTGCCAGCTGGGCATGAGACACGGGCAGGCTCCGTGCCTGGCACGGCTCAGAGCAACACGGCACTACGGTCTCCTGGAGAACGGGAGTGAGTAAACGGCAAGCGTTTGCTGCTGGGAAGGGTTTCCTGTAAGTATTACAGATGTGACAGTGTAGAAGGAAGTATGCTTGGGCATGTCCAGCCCAGCCCTGGCAGATCTCAGCCTCCAGCTGGCTGAGTGAAGGACAGGTTTAAAATGTGCCTCTGGGAGGAAGTATTAAAGATCTCTTGCTTTGGAATAACTGAGCTTGCTGATGTGCCTGAGCACAGGCTGCAGAAAGGTCAAAATGCTCACAGGTGAGAAGAAACAATTCAAAGTTCAGGTAAGTGGAGTTTTTCTATGCAAGAAGTTGGAAGTGCCATTTCTCTCCAAACAGTCTGAATGCTAAAGACAATGGGAGACGTGTCCATTACCACCCGTAGTTCTTTTTCATCCTTTATCTGCAGAGGAAGTCGCTATACTGTAATAAAAATAATTTAACGGTGTGTTTTCTCAGGAATCATGAATCTGGTGCTCTCTGCACATGAAAATGTTTCAGTCTCCATTTCTAGATACGACCTACCTGGAGTTTAGTTCATTTGGCAAGACTCTTAACTTCATTTTTCAATAGCTGTAAGAATATGAACATCACCATGATGGTCACCCCGTGTCCCACACTGGCTAGTGATCCTTCTGGAAGGAGATCTTCGCTGGTGCCCACTCCTGTCCTTCATTGATCAGAGCTGCACAATTTCCTGACACAAAGGCTGCATTTGGATCATGCAAATGCAGCCAAGTCTCTGTGTAGGTCATGTCTCCTGAAGCTGTTTTGTTTGCTTTTACTATATCCTGTGGCAAGAATGCCACAGGATACTGATGAATTGTTGCTGTGTAAATTGTGCTTTTCTGTTTGGTTTAAATCTGATTTCACAGAGTGCTGATGCACTTTGATTTCACAAAAACAGCAATTACTTGCTCCCTATTCACCTTTCACTCTTCTACAGACATAGTATTCCTCACCTTGAGATGTTTTCAGCCTGGAAAGTGTGTTGCCAGATCTCTTGAAACTACTTTGTATTTCTGAGCATTCTTTTTTTTTCTTTCTCCTGTTTCTCTGTGTTGTACAATTTCTGAGATGCACTGAAAGCACCATAATATTTAAAACGAGGGCATGCCATAGAATTGCTCTGTAGTAAAAATCTATTTTTTCCCCGTTTTTTCCCTGGGAATTAGTAATGTTCTACTTGCCTTTTGGCTGTCATAGACCACTGATCCTATGTCTTGCAACTATGCAAAATGACTCCCAGGTCCCTGTACTGAATAAGTCAAAGTAATTTAAAACCAACTGTGTGATGCAGTTAATATTTTTCTGCATGATTATTTCTGCATGTAGCTTATTAGACAGCCTCTCATATGAAGATTTTTTTCCTAGTTCTGTAATTTTATCATCAAGAAACACTTGTTTTCTTTTGTCAGATTATCTGTTTCATTATTGACCAGATGCTCCCTAACATGTCCCCAAATGCCCTCTCAGGCATTCTATATTTTAAACAGCCTTGGGAAGTCTCATCTATTTCCTGGAGAACCTTATTTTTTGAGGGACTTATTAGGAAAAAATCCCCAAACAAACAAAACAAAAAACTCTCCATACCCATACAATGTACAAGTGGGTTAGTATTTCAAAGATGTGGAACTACTGCAATACTGATGTCAGAAGTTGGATCCCTTTTTTTTGTCCTCTCAAATGCATTTTTTTTGTGTGTGATGCTAAAAACGATTTGGGTGAGTGGGACAAATTACCAGCAGCTCTTTCAGTGTTGGAAATGGACATGAGGAACGGGCTGTTGCTCCCAATTTAGTGTTGCTGCCACTTTGTATTTCCACAGGGCCTGATGCAGCGTGCTTCTGTTGTAAATCCTGCCCCAGAACCTGCTCTCTTCTTACCAGCTCACTCCAGAGCTCTCCCCTCCTATTATCTGTTGTTGCATAGCATGCCCTATTCTCTCATTCTTCTCCAAAAATGCAATAAAATAAGCCCCAAATCTTGTTTCTGATGGGGATTTATGAAAACCTGGGTAGTGAGCTTTCATGTCCCTTTCATTCCCAGTTTTAGAAGAGAATTATAGACCAGCTGGCTTATCTAGAGTCCACTTAAGGATTTAAACAGGAATGTGCTGTTTTCAATCTGTAATTGCTTTCTCTTCTAAAACACTTTTTAAAAAAATTTGGAGTGAATACCATATTTGTAAAATGAATGCCAACAGCTAATACAAAAGTCTACAAAGATAAGCAGTCTATTGCAGTTGTTTGAGGTTAACATCACTGTAACTTTCCTCTTGCACCCTTTCTCCATAATTTCCTAAAGTGCATAGAGGCTTATATACAGTTACTCACTCTATGTATTGCAGCTGAAGGAGGTATTTTGTGTCCTGATTTTAAGTATGTGGACTTCACCTAAACTGTGATATGCCTAAGCATACAGTTGAACTGCCTTCTCTCTGAGTGAAGAAAACAAGTTCACCTTTCCAGATACAAATGACTCACAGGAAGCTGTGTAAGTTCATTGGATTTTTTTAGCCTTTTCCTAACATCTTCTGCCAAAGGGGAACATACAGCCTATTATCAGTGTAAGAAAACACTAAGAAAAGTTTAGTTTACCTTTGCAAGGTCAACTGTTTTTCCTCCTGGAGACCTCTTCTTCTTTCTTATTAAAGAATCAACTGATTACCTCAAATCTTTTCCTCTTTTTGATAGGTCACCCCTAAATTCAATGTATTCAAGTTCTGCTTCAATTAAAAATAAAATTTTTAACCTGCTTATATGGAATGCACAATAGTAATGGCTAACAAAGATTAGCTCATTAAATAGCACATGATTACTACAAAACAGCTGCTTTTAAAGACCTCCAAAAAACAGTTTGCCCATTAAGTGTGCTCCTTTTTCCTTTGATATGCATATATTTAGTGCTAATACATCTCAGATTCACAAACTGCCTTTTCTCGTATTTGTATCACAGTAACTCATGAACTTAGATCCACACAAATAGCTAATCAGCCTTTTGCAAAGTATGGAAACAAAGTTAGGAAAAAAGGAGACAAGAAATTTTATACCTCAGTATATTTATTGCAGAAAAATAATTTAAAGTAAAAAATAATCAAAATTACATTTAAAGCAAAGTTCAGGGGTTCTTAGTAGCTCAAGAATTCAAGAGGCTAAACACTAAGAAGAAAAATATAAAACCATATAGTAAAGAAAAGAGCAGGGAGGCTAGTCAGTCTAACTCTTCCCCTTCTGCCTGGTGGCTGCTTGGCTAGAAAAGGCTATCCAAGTGCTTTATCAGGGGATTTGAGTATTCAGTCTAATCACTCTGTCAAATCCAGAATGTCTTGTGTGTTTACTGACCACTTAATAGTTACATTATACTTTTTCACACTATATATTTTGCTTGCAGAATTTCTTTGTGTCCAGGTAAAGATGCCCACAGAAGCTAGTTCAAAAGAGGAGCACTAACCATAGGCATAGTATAAAAGCAAACAGAAAAAACCCACAGAAGACAGTCTTCATCAACTGACACCGAAGCCCAAACTTTTCAGTAGCTGTGCATTTATTTCCTGTGAAAGCCATCACTGTGTTTAGGGGAAGTGCCTGCTTTTGACTTCCTGAGATGTTTCAAGGGAGATTGTGTGTCCTGCTGTTTGTAGAGAGCATGTGCCATGTAGGTTTGTATTTTTATCAGCATCTTGTGGCCTCAGATTTTGTGCAACCATAAACTGTTCCAAAATATTATGTGTTCTTGTCCATGAATGTGGCACACACTTTTGGTATCCCTGCCAAAGCAGACCGTTGTGTAAAACTGGCTTATGGGAAGTTGGTTCAGCACAGTAACTGCAGTCTGACAACACCCTGAATTTGGTAGTCTTGAAGTACTCTATAACCAAGGGGTCAGCTCAGAGACTGAACAGCTGCTTCACTGTGAAAACCATTTTAACATCCTCACACCCTTTCCATTTGACATGGACAAACATTCCACCATAATACTTACACAAAGTATTGCTAGCATCTAAATACAATAGACAAATGTAATTTTTCAGCACTAAGAGCTAAATTGCACTGGAGAGAGGAAAATAAACCAACACATGCTGAAAGAGAGGAGTGTATTTCAAAAAGTGCATTTCAAAAAGCTGGTATTTAGTACAAAAGAACTGTCTAACAATATGCAACTATTTCAAATAAATCAGTTTATACCAAATCTAAGAGACAGCATCACAAAATTATTATTTCTAATCTTCAGGAAAGTGCCTTGAAAGAAGATAGTCCATAAGGTTTTTATCATGTTCACCACATCTGTAAACAGAATAAAAGGACCAGTTACTTATGTGAGTGCCACCTTGCTTTCAATGTGAAACGTGGAACTTCTTGGTGATTTCTCTGAGAACATTCCAGAATCCCTTAGGATAATAGACATTACCTTTGTACTCCTAAATGTGAATACAATTTTATCTGGGTGGTCCTCCTAGGTACTACCAGAGCTTGCACTATATGCTTGGCATGCATAGTAGCAAGATGTGCTCAGCAGGGAGTCTGCATATTGTTAGAGCACAGCATGCTAAATTAAGAAGCTTTACTGAAACACAGAAGATATTTAACAATACAGGAAACAACATGTTTACAGTACTGGTTTTCTTAAGTTTCTAAAACCTGTCCATCAAAACTGATTTCTGGCAAATTCAAAATACCATACTGGCCCAAATATAATGGCTTTTTCATTACAGCATTTAGAACTTGAAAGAAATACACTTACCACACATTTGTTTTCAAACTAAGTTTCTGATTAAGCTTTCAAGCCCTTCTAAAAACCAAAGAAGACGACCTAAGCTGCTGGTAAAATGTACAGCAATCAAGGTCTTTGATGAACATATGAGCTGAGGCAGGGAACAGGTTCCATAGCAAAAATTTCAGGACCCATTACAGGAAGAAAACAAGGAAAGGGGCCTGTGGCGTCCTGTGTTTTTCCCCTCAAAAAGCTGCAAGGCTCCTTTGTATTTGAGACAATTTGGAATGTATTTAAAGCTAATTGGTACTTGCACACGAGAAAAAATATTGTCAGCTCACAGAGGAAAGCTGAAAAATAAAATGTGTTTGGATTGAAGGTTCAGCAAGCTGCAGTTCTGACAAACAGCAGAGGTAAATCCCACAATAAATATTTGATTCCTCTACACAAGTAATTGCTAGTAAGTGACCATTCTCAATTAAATATGCTTTGGAGGTCCTTATTTGAAACAAGTGAGCCTACATAAGCATTTGTTTAAGACAAAATCTTCAAAAGCAGTTAATCAGCACAATATTGCAAGAGGTTAATTAAGCTCATAGGTGCTAATAGATTTAGAGTGTTTTTTATTCAGAGTTATCTAAGTCTGGTTCACTCCCTCCTTCATGCTGGCACTAGCAAGAAACCCTTCAGAAAGTTTTGGGGAATTTTTTACCCCTGTTCTTGTACCAAACTAGAGCAGAGAGCTGGTCTGGAGGGCGAGCTCACTTCACAATCTCTATAGCTGGCACAAGAGAAGCACTGCTTCTTTTGGCACAACCCTATTAGGTGAGCCTAAGCCAAAGTGCATTTTCTGCTAGTGGCTGAGTGCTTGCAGCACTTGATATAAAATGCTGAACCAGTGGCAAAGCTGATTAAAATCAGGACTTCATTCTAATGACTTCTTTAAGGACTCTGAAAACTCTTTTCAATCCTCACTGCCACAACGTATTGTTGCATGTAAAAGTCCATCAAAATCTCTCTGCTGGGCAAGTAAATAGGTTCTGATAGGATAATCTTCCTTACAGACTGTCTGTGGGCATGCACTTCAGAGTAAGAAGGGGACCATTACCAATATCCTTGTCTAAATTCCTACATAATATATGCTAGACTCAATCCAACGATTTCTGCGTCAGACTTCTGTTCTTAGCTACAAACTCCAATGGCAGGGTTTCAAACAGGCCCTCTGCTCTCCTCTCTTGCAGGCAGCCAAGCTATTTGCAAACACTTTCACACATTCTCCTGCTTGTGAGAAATGTAGGCCAGCTTACCACAAGCAGAAAGTGTGAAAGCATTCTTAAAAAACCTAACTGCTGGCCTGTTTTTCATAGAGTGCAAGTCCTTTTAAACACTCCCCTACCTTCTACCCTGTAAACCCTCCTTTTTCACGGGGGGAACTGCCCCCTTTCTGGGGTGAGAACGCCACATGAGCCATGTCCCCTGCCCCACCACAGCAGACTGCTCTTGCAACACTATTACGCTACCCCACTAAGGCTCTAGCCAAATTGTAGTACTGAATGCAAAAAATCCACACCCAGTTCTGTCTGCTTCTAGTTCCCAATATTTCGATGTATTTCTAAATATCAACATAACCCATAATTATTTGATTCTTAAGTAAAACAAGCTGGAAATTGAAAGGAGTTGTATTTGTTTTAATACAGCAGTCAATCCAAATTAATTCCACTTAGGTAAATGAGCAATAGTCAGCTACAGCTAAAGGAAAAATTCCTCAAAGATGGGGGATTTAAACTTAGCACAAAAGTTATGTAATGTAAAAATTAAGAAACAAAAGTTAACCAGAAATTACAGATACAGAATATTTCCTTGGATTTTGATCCATTATTAAAATATGTGATTTTCACAATATTGCTCAAAAGAATATAATTCAACATAGAAAACAACATGAATTAAAAAAAAAAAAAAAAACCACAAGGTTGCCTACCTGGGACTAAGATGCTGAAGGACCTGAACCTTCTTTCTCATTCGATCCCAGTTTTGCTTTACATTCTTTGCAGACATGATGGCACTGCCTATAATATTGAAAGCAAACAACACATTGAAGAGTTTTGTTGGATTTCTTCTAATACAACCATTTAACATGATGGCAAAAGTTCTTGAAGAAATAATCTTTTGCCTATATTCCCTTATATTAATGTATATATTAATATATTCCCCTATATTAATTTTTGTAATATGGGATATAAATGACAAAATACAACATGTAAATGTCTCAGCCAATAAATACTCATTAATTAGTATTAAGTACTCCTTCTAGCAATTGCCAAAATATAACAGGATTTTCCAAGCAGCAAAAGACAGTACTTGACATTGTACCTGTGAGCAAACTGAGCTAGGAGTAAGGTGTGTAACATTTTGTGTAATACCAAGTATATACTTTGTTGTGTGTGGGGAGAATACAAGAAGAGAAATAGATGAACAATGAAGGAGCTTCCCATTATCAGTCAGGCATTTTTCTAGGCAGAAAAGCTCATGCTGGTCTGGGGAAAGATGTGGACAGACAAAGGAGAATGATTTTTTGGACAGGATTTTTGGAATGCGTTTTGTGAGCAAATGCTTTGTACCAGAAGCCATATTGAGAATGGAGAGTATAACAGGCAGCTGAAGGAGGAGCTGAGAAGGAAGCCAGAGTCTGATTTGATGTGAAGGAGGACTTTATGTGAGACTGAGAAAACAATGACTAAAACATGGAGGTGCCAGGTGACACAAGTCAACCATTGAGATCTGTTCTATGGTTAGAGGTGCCAGGTGGACAAAGCACCCTCTCATTTGCACTCCTCATGGTTTGGCACAACAGCATGACATTGGGCAAAGCCATAGAGGAGAGGGAGGTTGGAATATGGGTTGAGATTGACATTGTTGTTAAAATATGAGAACATTACAAAAAAAATCTGTAGCATATTTGGCCTGAGGTATGTTCCAAAGGAAGGCTCAAAGGATCAAGGTGATAACATGGACAATCTTAGCAGTATGATACTAGATGAATAGAGAATGAGTTACTGTTGTCACATCACACCTAAAAGTATACAATAATTTAATTTAAATCACGGATATCCTAGTAACAGGTATTACAATGAGTTTAATTTGCATTTTCTGAAGAATGTGTAGTAGTTTTTTAGTACTGCAGTATCTAGCCCAAGACTATGACTAGTACCTCAGGATCAAATCACAGAATTTAAATTCATAGTTTTGCTGCATATAATTTTTTTTAAATTTTTTTTATCTAGGCTTAATAATTTAAATTAACACAGACCTTTTTTGTTTTGGACAAAATGGTGTAATACCAACTTTCTGAAACTTTTTTTGGCATTCTCCCATGTATGACATCTTTCCAATGACAAAACCCAAGACACCGGCAACTATAGAGACAGATAACAAAATATTGTTAATACAACAGCTCAAATCAGGAGTGTGCTATTGGCCCCATTTTAATCATATAGCAAATGGTATACCACATCTCAGAACATGTCACAAACACATGTGAAGTTATACAGGGTTTATAGGGTGAATTCAGTAACTACTGAAAACTGGTTACCTATCATGAGAGAGCAACTGGTCCAAAATAATTGATACAGAAAAAGGATATAATATTCTTGCCTACAGGAAAAGGATACATTATTTAGAGAAACAGATTATAGAAAATAAAATTAATTCATGATGTTAGCACTAATTGTTCTTGCCTTTGATTGCACACCTTGGTTTACTTCTAATGATCACACTTTTAACACCAACTTCTCTGGCCTTCTAAGAATCTAGAACATCAGCTTGCCATATTGTTGCACTGTGGTTTTCACTCACTAGAGTCAGAATAAAAGACTATTTCAATGTCCTTGATTTCCTGCTGAATTTCTGCTGAAGAGGGAATCAATTAAATTTCTTGTCATTTACGAGCCACTTCACTGTACTAAAGTTTCTGTGCTTCTATTTGTTTTCTTTGTCAATCCATGGTTCTGAATTAGACAGTTGAGATCAATCAAATAAACACATGAAAACGACCATACTATTTTTTATATTATAGTATTGTGACTTTTTCCATAGTGTAAGTTGTGCACAAGCATCAGTGAAGCTGATATAATTTATAAAACAAAAGTGGAGACTAGAGTTTATACCAATTTGAGAGATTGCATACATAAATGTAAGCTGCTACTTATATTTACATTAAAAGAATCTTGTTTTGTACATTTATTTTTAAACACATCAGAAATCTGATTTCCTGATCTGCTGGGGTAACATATAAATTCCAAAAAATTAAACTTTTTGAAAAGAAATTCAGAGAGGTGCATCTAAGATCTGCATATTGTCCATAAAGAACATTTTCTTTCATTTTAGAATTGGATACAACTTACCTGCCATCTTGGGGTATGGACCAAATTTTGGGCTTGCTGAGAAAATGCCTACAATAAAAGGAAATAGAAAGCTTACTCACTTGAGGAACTCACTAGCACTCAAAACCAGGGCACTAATTTTCCTACAGCTTTTTCATTTCTTAAGGTGAGGATGGTATGAAGTCCACTAACTCAGATTTTCAGTACATCAGAAATGTACATAGTACATTTCTATTCCACTAGTTCATAGTGCATATCTTTTGGGGCAGCCTAGAGTCATAGGAGGAAGAGAATCTGGACTTTGCAGGATTCAGTACAGGCAGGAGTTCAGAGTATAAACCAACATGAAAGCAGCATGTTTCCCACTGGTGACACCTGCAGCACTGCAGAGGAAGTGATGGTGGCTTATGTTTCAGCACAAACCAACCCTGCATATAAAATAGCAAAATTAAATCTCTTACATAGTGTCCAGCTCCTTGTGCTGTCATAAGTAGGATAAAACTGCTCTTTGGTAGCTTTTTGTGGCTATCAATTAAAAGTGTACTACTGGTATCTAGCCTTCTCCTCTAGAGAGGAAAGATCACACATTTTGGCCTATAAGAGAACACAGTGTGCTAAACAAGAAAAGCAAAAAATTATCTTTAGCTTTTCCACCAAAATCCACATTCCACCAGTTAATCTCGGGAGATGAAACTAGTATTCCTCTGAGAACTATGTGTCTGGCAAAGGAATGCCATGCTATGGAGGAGGGCTCCACACAGCAAGATTACCATGGCAAAGGGAAGGGAAATGAACACTGGTTGCACTGTCACATGCATTCAGACAGTAATAATGAGGCTTAGAAGCTCCAACATGTTCTAGAGGCGGGTACTGTGTGCAGCCATTGGAAGAAAGTATTTAGACAGAGAAGTATTCAGCCTGTGCTAAGCACAAGGACCTTTGCCCACTGTGATCTATGCAATTTTATATTGGGTCTCTCGGGGAGGGAGGAACAAAAGTGTTGTTTGTTTCTAATCACCCCCCCTCCAATTGTTGACACATAGTAATAATTATTTAATAAGGGCATTTGTTATTTCACAGCTGATCAGAAACATCCAAGTACAACGAGCAGAAACTGAGAAGAGCACCTCGTGCCAGAGGCTGGCATGTTAGCTACAGAGACAGCCCCAGTGACCTTCCTATCACAGCTCACCCTTCTCTGACACACTCCTTCCCTCCCTGTCTCCCTATAAGCTCATAGGTCAAGGATGGAATAGGGAACCCACATCTGCCTCTTGTGATATAGCTTAGCAGACTTCAAGGTGGATGCCCCTCACTCTTTCCCCAAAACACCAACACAACTTAACCATAGTTAAGACCCCCCAGCAGGCAAACTGAACGTGCCATGTGTAGAACCAGGCTCATCCCCCACATAAATAGAATACAATTTTCTTTTGTGTTAGCCTGCAGATCGTGAGCTATCTCTACAGAAAGCTCTCTGTCTCCTCACTTTGGCAGTACTCCTTGTTCCTTTGCACCAAAGCTGTAGTCATATCGATACATGGTCACTCTAAAAACATTGCCAGCATTTTCAAATAAAACAACAGTTAGAGCTACAGTACCCAACTCTAATGCCCCTGCTGGGTTGTACAATGCTCTCCCCTATGAGCTGCCCCAGTGAAGACTCTACTCAAGTACATGTGATCACGGTGACAAAATCCAGCCACTGGTCTTTGGATCTGCAAATTTTCTTTTCAGTTCATGTTCTTGCAAAAGAATGACTGTGTCAATGTACACATAATAATCAAATTACCATAGCCATGATAGTAATGAGCAAGAAGGTATTGATCTTGAAAAACAGTAATGATGTTTTTTTTAACTTTACCTTTTGAGATTAGGCCCTGGGTGACAAGCATGCTCCCAAGAGATAAGGGAAGAGCTGTGAAAATGAAAGGAAGAGTAGCTGGTATCAGCCAAAATTTGTTAGGTATTTGATAAATACTCTCTTATACGTTAAATATTTTCTGTTTCTAATGTTAAACACATTATTTCTGAACATTAATTTTGCCTACTGTCTTAATCACCTACTACATCTGCTCATTCAGATTATGTTCTCTTCAAAACAAAGATGTCGTCATGCAGTGCCAGACATCAGCCATGCTGTAACATCTGGAGCTAATGCAATTTATATATATCTCCACAATCTGAGTATCTCCACAATCTGTAGATCTCCTTTAACTACTGCAACACTTGTAATGTCAGTAGCCCCAATGAAATGCTGAAACCCTTTTCAATATTCTCCTTTCAGAAAATATGTAATTTAGATACAAACGGAAAGTGTGGAAGGAAAGGCAGTAAAACACCAAGCACTGACTTTTTTTATGTCCTAACATAGGAAGAATTTCATAAATCGAAGACACATAGCCATGCCTGCCTTCCATTCAAAGGCAAGAATAAGTACATAACAAAGTAAAACATCCCTAAGGTGGTTGAAATAATGGACTTCAAGAATAGAACGAACTCTACAACTGCTAATGTTCATATTAAACAAGACCTCAATCCAACTACCTTTACATACAACAATTATGCAAATAATTCAATTAAACCTTTAAGAATACAGATCTTAACTTGACAGAGTTAACCTACAACAGTGTTCCAACAAAAAAGCATTCTGCAGAAAGTTTTGCATGCTTACATCAAGAAGTGTGGGAAGTGTGGGAAGAATGACTTTGGATCACTCACCTCTGTACCAGAAACTTTCCTGTTTGCATTCTTTACGGATCCTTGCAATCTCTTTGTCTTGGATTTGGGAGATGGGGCAAAATAACATTGGCTGAAAGCATAAACCTGGATTAGTTTACCAAATTTAATCTCACAGGAAGAAAAAAAAATCAATTAAAGAAGATAAATTCTTTAGAAAACAAATAAAATACAAAAATTTCCAAGCAAAACTGCTTATTCTGTTGTTAGCAGTGGGATGAAATCTTGATACCCCAACACAGAAACAGAAAGAACTACATAGGTTTTAAGTTTGAACCATCCATCTTGTAAGTCTTTACTTTCCTAAAATTGCCCAGCTGCTTCTTACCCCAGAAGCATATTGCTTTATATTTGCTAGTCATTTCATTCTCATGAGCTACATTATGTCTCCCAGAAAGAAATGACAGGAAATAAAGGCAGAGTGGCAGTTTTCAAAAATCAAGTTCTGCTCTGTACAGAAGTCAACTGAAGTTCAACAAGAGCAGATTTTGCAAGTATTTAAAAGAGGGTCAACATAAATTTTGCCAGACTCCCCACTAGTAGAACTTTCTCTCTGAGCCATTTAAATATATCCATGGCATCAACTGAACTCAACAATACTGGCTTCACCCTAATAAAAATCATGCCTCCGACAGACTTTTTTAAGGTAGCTCTTTTTTCACTCACTCTAATTTTAAGGAAAAAGTGACAGTATTCTCCCTTGCATTCTACTATCTACTATCTACTTCTTGTAGAAACAAGAAGATTATTTTTCTTTCTTTAAGAAAAGACTCAGTGTTAGCATTTGAAGTGTCATTACCAGACATATGAGATAAATGGGTGTACTGGTTTTGACTGGACAAGAGTTCATTTTCTCCATAGTAACTAGTATGGTGCTAGGTTTTGGATTTATGACCAAACCAGTCTTCATGATACAGGGATATTTAATTACTGCTGAGTAGATCTTACACAGAGTCAAGGCCTTTTCTGTTTCTCAGGCTGCCCCACCAGCAAATTGGCTGGGAGTGTAGAAGAATTTGGCAGGGGACACAGCTGGGACAGCTGACCCAAGGGATATTCCAATTCCATACCATGACATTGTGCTCAGCAAGAAAAGCCGAATGAAAGGAGTTGTCATTAAGTTGAAATTAATTGAAATTTTAACATTTTTCTGTAAAAACACAACATCTTCAAACACACATATTCTTGAAAGAAAAGCTAGACATCATAGAACAAGAAATGCCTTGGAAAAAAGAGCACATTCATCTACAACATCTATAACATGGATCATCTTATGCCTGCCTGATCCATGATTTTATAGCCATAATAAGGAAATGCATTTATTGGCCACAGCCACACACATTTCATATTCCAGGTAATTAACATCTCAGCCTTTCTTCAAGCACTGCTCCCACAGAAGTTAATGGTGGTGCCACTTGGGTGAACAATACAGAATTGGCTCTGCTCTAGACCATAGAGAACCACTTCAAACTGGTTTCAGAGCAAGGTCACGGTAAATACAGTCAAATACAAACAGGCTGACTGAAAGATAAGAAATTCGTGTCAGAGCCCCAAGTGCACCAACAGGCTTTGCAACCTTTCTATCTTTATACACACCCTGCCAGGTGTTTAGTTACTTGGGCTCTAACATGGCACAGTTGTGTAACATCGAGTTAAGACTGCTGTGAAAACAGAAAAGCTCAGAGGCAGCAGCAAGAAGCTTTGCCCAGGGCCTCTGTCCTTCAGCTCAGGAGCTGCATACAAGCTCAGGCCCTTGCCTTAACTGTGTTGTAGGTATACCATGGAGATCCTTACCTTGCCTTGCTAACCTGATCGCTGGCTTAGCATCAGACTTGCCTGGCAGTCACTGAACTGGCTGTAGGCTGACCCTGGTTAACATCACTGGATCTGCTGTCCTCCTCTTTTTGGGTACTGTGGTACTGTGCTCCCTGTACCTGAGGCCCCAGCCCCTGCCACCCTGCTGGCACTTGCGTCCCTTCCTTGCAGATCAGCCCAATATTGCTGCCCTCTGGTAGTGACTGGTTAGCAAAAGTCATACTGCATTTAAACTCCTTGATTTCTCTATCAGAGGAGAATGTTCATCTTCTGTAGAGCTGTAGACCAGATTCTTGTGCCACACTGTTCCCTTCTCCCCTTCTGAGCATGTTTATGCAGAACTTGATGGGGACAGATTGTACTGGACTTGTACTCAGACACCATGGCTATGCCAGCTCATAACTCAGGGCATAAATCAGAGCTTTAAGATTCACAACTCCTAGCTCTCTGTGAACCAGGAAAAATAACACACTGTCCTTTCCTCTCTTCATCTATACGCATTAGCTAACAGACACCTATTTTTCTCTTCAATAAGAGCAACTGAGACAAAATCCCAGTTATTCATCAGCAATAACATCAAAACATAAGGGAGGAAATGCAGCTTACCCATCCAGGTTGTTTTACTGGAGGTGTCTGACTTCCCTGTTGGACTGCTTCAGAAGACATTGTCTCTTTCCTTGTAGTCTGCTACTGCTCTTGTTCAGCAGAAGCTGTGCTTGCTATTTTATGCTTGGCTACTTCTCTTTCTGCTAGGTACAAAGGTAAAAGGTCAAGATATCATACTGATACTTGCAAGTCCAATATTCATCTAGAAAGAAAAATGAACAGGTTGCAAGGAGTGTATTTTTTACAGCAGATAGCATCCACTTACCTGATACAGTTTACAGCAGAGTTTAACACTATCAGCAACACAGAGTTGTGTGTAACTTAAACAGGTAATTCAGGAACTACAATTAAATGCTGAATCATGACCTAGCACAGTATGCTCAATCATAAAGAAATTAAAATATAAGCAAGTAATTGAAAACCTTTCTAATTTTTTAATGCATTGCAGGTCCAAGAAATAGCCTCTTTAGTGTACTGTCCAGAATTACTGCACTACTTCTATCCTCACTGCCATCATCTGAAGCCTGGATTCCATGGGACCCACCAGGCAAGCCTATCACAAACCACATCTGTATTTCCAAAAAACCCAATTCAGTTATAAACATTCTTTAAAAAAATTACACAAAAGAATAAATAGATTCCGAAGAGTTTTAGAGCAATATTCCATGCTTGAGAGCTGCGCTGTTAGGGAAAAACAAGAAGGAAACTAATTTCTTTCTGGAGTAATTCAAACATCTAAATTGTGATTTTTACCTAGCAGTGTGCTGCATGGTCTGGCACTTTATTAACATAGAGGGCACTTCTGCTTTTCTGAAAATACCTTCTGAGAATGGTGGCAGTGAGCAAGGCTAAAGTGACTGCAAAGGGCAGAGTCAAATAGAAAAGATATACAACAATTTATTGACCTAAACGTTTTTGGGCATTCATAATATTACTGTATAAACCACTTCCTGTACTTATTTTGGGGTCAGTTACACAGCTACGAAATTTAAGCAATGTCTGATTCACATACACTAGATATTCAGACAGCAAAGCTTTTTTAAATAATAGAAGCAACATAACCTCTCACCTTGGTAAAAAAAAACTTAAATAAAGCATTGCACTCACACCAATCAGCACTTTATTCTCAGACACTCGCAAAAATTACAATGATCACTGTGTCTTTGAAAAAAGGTGAGTTTGAAAACCCATATTATATGAGGAAAGCTCACACATCTACACCATTTTCCTTAATCTGTGAGCAATTTAATTTTCCTCAGTCTCCTGCCACTTAATGCAAAAAAAGAACATAAAATATGAGAAAGATGCATAAAACTTTAAAGAGGTTTGTGTCAATCAAAAATGACTCCAATTTTCTTATTCTTATCTGTTTTCTTATTCTCATCTACTCACAAAGCCTACTTGTGCAGATGGCAGCATAAAAATAAAAACTGGAAACAGTTTCTAACTGCTGCAACAGATTAAAAGTGCTTGTCTTTTTCATGACGATAAAACAGCTGAGTCACAGGAGAAAAAAATTTTAAAATAAAATAAAATAAAATAAAATAAAATAAAATAAAATAAAATAAAAAGAATGGGTATAAATTAAGAGTACGAAGATTTGCAGTTTGCCATTGGGCCTCCAAGCACACGTTTCTCCTGAATTAGAAGTTATTCAGCTATGCTACTGCTTGAACATAATAAAGAACCCCAAAAATATTTAGCCCCTTAAGCAGCCGCATGGTACTTCTCCCACATGCATGAAAGCTGAAAGCTATACTGGCAAGAATGAAAAAAGAGACAGAGTTGATGTCATCAAAATATTATGTAACTGAATTATTAATATACACATCCAGCAGACATGCTATCTCTTATCTGAGGAATGTAAAAGTTTTCCAATATTTTAAGGCCTGAATCTTGGAAAGTCAACTGTCATATCAAAAAAAACCTTTATTTCCATTTGCTTACTGAAGAAATGTAACTTCTTTGTCATTTTGTTATACTCACTGCTGTTTTCTCAACCTTACATGTAATTCTTAGTGTAACAATTAAGTGTATATTCTGGGAAGAATTCCCCAATTATATTATTCTGTTTTAATGGAATACCTATATAATGCAAGATTAAATCAATGTAGTTTGCAAGGATCAAATATTCAAAAAACTTACTTGTCTTCTACAAGAAATGCTATGGATAATTTATTAATTTACAGAAGAAAATTCTAATACTAGGCTCCTGAAAAAATCTCACGGTTTGAACACCTCTAATGGGATGATAAAGAAGCAGTATGCAAGAAGATAGCTAAGTTTTTCAAATATGAGAATTGTCAACTTCATATACTGTGTTTTCAATAAAAAGCTTCCTTCTGAATATGAATGGTAACCCCATAATTTCTAGGACTTCAGGGAAGGAAGGGGGAGCCAGAATTACATGGATTAACTGGTCCACGCTGTGGGCTGTGATGTCCAGGGCAGACAGCACTCACCAAAGATTTTAGAGGCACTTCACTGTGAGGAAGAGGGGAGATGACAAGACCCAACATGATGTTTCATACCTATCTGAACGGGCTCTTTGTTTTTAACTCAGGCTCTTATTTCACAGGTGAGTCTACAGAGTAGCTGCACTAGGTAGTACGTGACAAGGTCCCTACCAACAACCCGAGAGCAGCACGGGGCTGGTGAATGCCCCATGCCTGCTCAGCCCTGCAGCAGATGCTCAGTGCCCCCACCCAAGGCAGCAAACGCCCGGCCAGCACAGAGTATTTCTTTCACAGTATCACAGAACCAATTAGGCTGGAAAAGGCCTCTACGATCATCGAGTCCAACCTATGACCGAACACCACCTTGTCAACTAAGCACAAAGTTGAACCATGGTAAGAGCCATGGCACTGTGTCACGTCCACTCCACCGCCTCCTTCCTGGGCAGTCCTTTCCAATGTCTCATCATCCTTCTTGTGAAGTAATTCTTCCTGATGTTCAACCTGATGTTTTCCTCTGGCACAGCTGGAGGCTATGTCCTCTTACCCTGTCATTAGTCGTCAGGGAGAACAGACCAACCCTCACCTGGCTACAACCTCCTTCCAGGTGGTTGTAGAGAGCAATAAGGTCTTCCCGAGCCTCCTTTTCTCCAGGTTAAACACCCGCAGCTCCCTCAGCCGCTCCTAACAGGACTTATACTCCAGACCCTTCAACAGCTCCGCTGTCCCTCTCTGGCCACGCTAAAGCATTTCAGTGTGTTTCCTGAAATGACGGGCAGCAATCCCACCGGGCTGTGGCAGCACACGCCCTACAGCAGCCGCCTGCCCCGGGCCGGCTGCCGAGAGCCGCGCCCCGACCCCCGCCTTCCCCCGCCGTGACGCCGGAGAAATCCGGCCCCGCGGAGCCCCTTGGCGCAGACAGGAGGTGTCCGACACTTACGGTCGCCAGCTGCGCTTACGTTCCGCGGCCCGCCGGAGGAAACGGAATGGGCTGGCTGACCCGGCCGGGCGCGGCTGGACCCGGAAGCCCACGCGTGCCCGCGGGCCGGGCTGAGCCGCGCTGGGGCGGGGGCCGACCCGCTCGGCCCGCCGGGCTCCAGCGCCATCTCCCGGCCTGCGAGGTTCCAGCGCCACCTCCCGGCCTGCGGGGTTCCACCGCCATCTCCCGGCCCGCCGCGCGCGGTGTCACCGGGGTCCTCACTTGCCCGCCCGGCTCCCCTCACGCCCCGGCTCCTCTCTCTTGCGAGGATCGCACGAGCGCTCCTCGCCTCCCGGTGGGCTGCTCCGGTAGGAGAACAGCGAGCCCGCCAAGAAAATTCCGCGTTCTCGGATTTCCCCGCTGAAATTCAGAAAGCTCTTTTAGCAAGGGTATGTGTTAATAAAGGTAACAGAATCACAGCCATTAGAGTTGGAAGGGCCCTCTGGAGGTCATGTGGTCCAACACCCCTGCCAAGGGAGAGTCACCTGGAGCAGGTGACACAGGAACTTGTCCTGTGGGTTTGGAATCTCTAGACAAATGGAGATTACATGACCTCCCTGGGCAGCCTGTTTAGTGCTCTGCCACCCTCAATGGAACGATCTGCCTCAAGTTGAGGTGGAACTTCGTGTGTTTTAAATTATGAACACTGATCCTTGTCCTGTTGCTGGGCACCGCCAAAAAGGGTCTGGCTCCATGCTCTGACACCTGCCTTTGAGATATTTATATGCACTGATGAGACCCTCCCAGTCTTCTCTTTTCTAGACTAAACAGGCCCAGCTCCTGCAGTCTCTCCTCAAGAGAGATGCTCCAGACCCCCCCATCATCTTTGTGGCCTCCACTGGACCCTCTCTAGTAACTTCTTGTCTTTCTTGCAGGGAGGAGCCCAGCATGCAATATACGGGATCTGTCCTACAAATTGAAAATATTTTTTCTGGAAATGAAACCTTGCTCTTTAAAAGAGAAACAACAAATTCTACTTTGACCATTTTGGAATGAAAAGCATTGCTTATTTACTTTGATTGTAATAGTATGATGCTTATGTAAGTAAATAAATAAATTTTAATATTAACAAGAATTAAACAAATAAGAAAGACACTTTCATCAAGCAAAAATAATTTTGCAAGAAAAGGTTATCCTGAAAATGTCAGTTGGGTGTGGGAGGGATTGTTCTAGGAATATTGAAAAAAATGGTTCCACTTTCTCTGAAATGAGAAATGCAGTACCTTTCTTTAAGAATAAGTTTTCTAAAACAAAAAAATATAAACATGAGTTTTATTTTGCATTTTATTTTAATGAAAAAGGTCTCTGTTTCTATATTGTTTTGCTTCGTTTTTTTTCACAGCATGACGTAATAGTTTTCAGTAGAGTATGCTAAATGGTAATATGACACTTCAGTGCTTATCATGAAATGAATAGCCTGTGAGATCACCATTAAACTTCCTCTGTTTGCATGAGTTTGGCATCTCAGTTTTATAAGAAACATAAATGATAGTTAATTTTCTTAAGTCCAAAAAAAAATCTTTCAACTTCCGTGTGTCTTGGCTACTTGAAGCCCCTTTCACCAGACTGTTCTCCTACTCTTGCCTGTCAAACCAGAGGATCAGACTTTACTGCTGCAAAATGTGCTTTTCACGTGGAGGCTAGGCAAGAATGTTGTCCTAAAACAAGTCTTGAAAGTGTATCTAATACCTCCTGGGATCGAAAAGGTATTCTTGAAAACATACATTAAAACTATTTAATAGATACTGGCTGCATGCTATTCTGAAAAATACAATACACAAGAGAATCTTATGTGGAATGAGCACTTAACAGCCAATAACTTCTTAACTGGTCCAGCTTAAACTGAACATAAAATGAAGGAGCACTGGAATGACAATTTTCTCATGGGGCATATGTGTGCCTGGGGATAGTGATTGCCTAGAGATAAGACTGTTTGGATTCTTGCACTTTTCTGTGCAAAAGTGCCTATTAAAAATCAGTTTAAGCTTCTTTTTTTTAATTGCAACTTTAAATGTGAAGTTGGTTTTCACAATTGAATATGTTCTCCAAACTATCGTTCCAGGATTTACTTGCAAGTTCTTCAGAATTATAAAAACGGAGAGAAGGTAATAGACAGAAACCAGTAAATGTTAGTGATTTGGAAGAGTAAACACAAAGCAAGAGAGATTCTTACCTTCCCAGAACAAAACCAACTTTACATATCAAAGAAAAAAATCCCCAAGTGACAGCAAAAATAAAACAAACAATATAGAATTGAATGTTTGGCTGAGGAATTAGCTATTGTCAGAGTAGAAGGAGATCAAGGACTGAGATGTCACAAACTCAGGGAAGATTTACAGGCTCTAGCTGCTTGACTGGAGAACCTCTTAGAAAACACTGCAGCTTTGCCAGGGTCCTGAGGTTCACCACATTCACCAAAGAGAAACAAAGCCTTTCTGGTGTGCATATTTAACAGAAACACTCCGTGTATGTATACAGTGCGTGCCAGAAGAAGAAACTATTACCACATACGATAAGCATGGTTTATTTGACTGTTATAACATCAAACCTGGTTAATTGCTTAAAAATTCCCTGAGAAACAATCTCCACCCCCTTGTTTTGTAACCATAACAGAGCATGGAAAACGAAGTAAGAATTACATGAGAGGGCATTGTTCTCATGCTGATGGGAGTAGGAGTTAAGGGCAAATGAAAAGACATGAAAAGTCACTGCAGGAAACAAGCAACATGCTTCTGAGTAAAACATTAAACTGTTCTCACTACTTGCAAGGAATCATGTAAGTTTTCTGTGTCTTGGCTGATTTCTGGATGTACTTCTATTTTATACTTGGTGTGGGCTATGTTTTAGAAGTGAATAGTTGGTAATTATGAAATTTTCAAGATACAGGATTTCCTTTTCTCAATGTGAAGAGCCCAGTAAAGTGCTTGCAGAGACCTGCATGTGTTTGTGTTTCCACTGAGACTGTGACAGGTGCCTAACTAAACTCACCCACTCCTGCTTTTAGCACTTTTAATGCTAACCTGTGCTCCAACTTTCACGCTTTTCCCCTCTCATTTCTCTGGCACTTTCTTCTGCTTCTTCATCATGTCCATTCAGGCATCTCAGGCAATATGCAAGGACAAGTTCTCACAGGGGTCTGAATGTTCTTTTAAATGCCATGTGTTTACTTAGGTTTCAAAACATGCTTGTATTACAGTTGGAACCCAAATAAAGCATTTTTTACAATCACTAGCTTTAGAAAAGTTTACCCCTGTCAACCAATGTAATTATGGAGCTTTTAAATTCAAATAATTTTTTATGTCTGCCTTATGGTAGGGGTGTCTTAAATACTATTCTAGAATGAAAATGCTTCTTCTTCTGTGAGTGGAAGCTCCTACTGTAGTGTTTTCTTGACTTTACTGGTTTGACATCATTGTATTCCTATAAAGATCAAATACTTTTGCTCTATTTTTTTTTGTCAAGTACACCCGTGGCACTCCTGGAATAAAAAAAACTATAGTGAAAGGAGCTGCTACACATATATGTGTAACTAAGCACCTTGCAAGCATTTACTTTTGTATTTAAGACATTACACATGAAAACTCTCCCCTCTTTTGCTCTGATGCTCATACGTATATCAGCCCTATGGAGAGCACTAGAATGTAACTTTGTGATATGTGAAGCCAAACTTAATAGTTACTAAGAATCTCAGAGAAAGCACCCAGAGTAAAATTGCTAAATTTGTCAGGATTTGCATTATTTTCATTGCATTATGAATCTAATGGAAGCCACACAAACATATCAGTTTCACAATTCCAGTCATGTCGAGTTTTACTGGAACTCCACCCCTAAACCATGAAGCAAGATACTGTAATTACAAAAAGGGTTGCAAAATTTTTTCAAATATTTATTGTCTGAATACATGCTGTGAGCCTCACGCTCCTGCTATACAGCTCCAAAAGCAGCCATGTTCTGGGTTTATTCTGGCCAAGGATGTGATCTTCCATTTGCATCACACCTCAGTAAGATGAAATGGTGTCATCACTTACATAATCCTGATATCCATTGATAAGTGAGCTTATTCTGGTATGACTTTTCTTTAATCAAGAAAAAGAAAGATGCCTTTAAGGACATGGAACTTGGAGAAAACAGAGAAGCTCATTAAATCTATGAGTCTCATTCTTCCTTCCCTAGTGAGGTCGACTTTTCCATCAAAATACTTCAATTCTTTTGTGGACATTTGAAACACATTTCAAATTTTTAAAACACATTTTCATTTAGCAGCCAGAATTCAATTCTGAATCATACATCATACTGCAGGATGAATGAATCACTTGACTTTGAGACTTCTAGGGCAAAATTTAGTTTAGGACCATGTCCTCTCAAATGTCTCAACCAGACTTTATTGCTAATAATAGGTCATATATATGTTAGGTATTTATAGTTTACACCTATGGATTTAGAGTTTCACAAACCAGGGAAAGAAAATGCTTACCATAGGGTTTATTTAGAATGAGACAGTAGTTTTAACATAAATGAGAAGATACAGATGGCAGTTCTATAGGATACTGTGTGAAGATTAATAAAACTTAAGATTATTATATATTCCAACAGCAAAAGGACTTCTTAGTTCTTAGCTTATATTTACAATTATACTTTTCACGCTCTCCAAAAAATTCTAAAATTGAGATTTTGCTTATGTAAATTTTTGCTAGAACTTGGCAGCTATGATCACGGCTGGGTCGATTTAACCCATGATTTCTTCTAAAATTAGGAAACGTAGTTACTCAGGAATCTCAGAAAACGAAATGCTTCTTTTGGTGCTTTTTGTAGACAGCATTGCTTATCGGAAGTCCTTACTCTGCTGTAAAACAACACTTGTTTCACCAAGGTGAGCACTCTACTACTTCGGACATCCCCGAATCCCGCGTACTCAACTATGTGTTTGTACAAGCTTCCCGGTGGGTTAGTTCCTCTTTTCCCCGCCAAGCTTGTGCTGTAACAACCTTTCGCTTTTATTTTTCTCGCTGGCGTGCCTGCTCAGGGGACAAACGCTGCTTTGCTGACCCAGGAGCGGCGGGCCGAGCCCTGCTGCCCGTTCATCGCGGCGGGGCTGTGCACACCGCGCAGAGCGCGGGGCGGCCGCGCGCGCTGCCCGCCCCCGCCGCGGGCCGCGGCTCCGTGAGGCGGGACGGGCGGCGCCGCGCCTCACGGGCACCCGGCACTCGGCTCCCGGCTAGAGGGACGCGGCTCCCTCCGAGCCGGGCAGCGCCGGGGCGATGCTTCCCCTGTGGAAGGCCGTTCTCTCGGAGACTCTCCTGGGTAGGTGGCGGCGGTGCCGCCCGACGGGGCTGGGGGCGAGGGGCCGCGGTTAAGGGGGCCGGGGGGGGCTCAGCCGGGACCGGCCGGGTTTCGCTGTACGTGCAGGCGTGCCGCCCGTGAGCAGCTCCCCTCTGGAATGAGTAAACATTTGCGTGTTCTTCGGGTTCTTTTTTCCCCTCTAGTGCTGGAATGCTTTTTTGTCTCCTGAATCAGCCTAGAATTTACTGCTGCTCCCGGCCAGGTGTTGGTGCAGGTGTTGCAAGAGCCGGTGCTGCGCTGCCCTGCTCAAGGCAGGGCGCCGAGAGCGGTCCCCAGACCCAGCACCCACTGTGTCGTCTGCTCCGTGCATCTCCTGCAAAGCATGGAAACTCACAGCGCAGGGCTGCTGTGCCTACAGCACCAGGATAAGGTGTCTCTTGGGGAGAACAGCACGCCGATTTACTAGAATAATTCCTTTAGCCACCAGTCTGCATTTGAGGAGCCCTGAGACTGTGGGTGGACTGCTTATTTAGCCAGCCCTCTGAACACTAATCCTTTCTGAAGCTGAGCACTTCACTGAGGTTCAAAGTAGGAACTGCTGTCTGAGTGGAGGAAGAGCTGTTTTTATTCTCATCATTCTATTTCCGCGGAAAATGTGTTAGTTTAACTTGAAATAACAAAAAACATTTCTTCACAGAAGGTAGCTGTTGTTGTTTGAACTGCTTTCAAATACATTTGATAGTCTCTATGCGAAAGTATAAAATGGTACTTTTAAAGTAATCTCCAGGAAATCTTGTTGTTGAAAATACATGATGGGGTTTTCTTTTTTTTTGGTTTGTTCTTGTTTTAGGCTACATTTCTTGGTCTCTTTACCATGCACTGCCACCAATGATCTACTACTTCCCCCTTCAGACACTGGCACTCACAGGCCTAGAAGTTTTTGCTGTTGCCTTCTTTTCCCCAATACTCTTGACAATTGGCCCTTTTTGGAGGTTGGCTAACAATGAGTATGTCCTAGCCTTTCTGAGATTGACTGTGGTTGGTAAGTATGCACTGTAGTGAGTTGTAGATTCAGTTTTAGTATCAATGTGTAAGAACAAACATTCCAAATTGCCTTAAAATTGAGATGATTACTAAAAAAGAGACAGGAATAAGAAGTTCTCGCTCTCCCCATACTCATGTTTTGTTGGTGCCTTCTTTTTCTCTGAAGCTTTTAGCTATAGTCAGAGAAATATTGTTTGCAGCCATTGTATTGCATAAATACAGAAAAATCTCATTTCACTTTTATTTCTAGGAACTTTTAACTTAGTAAGAGTGATGCTCAGTAGGAAAGGTGTTTTCAGTATCACTCAAATATCAGCAGAGCAGGTATCTTTTGTATTGTGACAATGGATAGGGATGAGACATTACAGAACAGCTTGAGGCTATCATAAAAGTAGTCTTCTATGAGTGAAACATTAATTTTTTGTTTCTGAAGCAGTTTTATCTTCTAAGAATGTATTTTCAAAATTAAATCTATCTATCTACATACCTGTAAAGGGGTTATAGGCTCATCCTAAATATAAAATAACCCTTATATTATATGGTCAGTTGCACAGGATGAAAATTTGATCTTGAACTCAGGAAATAGACACCCCCTTTCCCATTCCATCAAGGCTCCTCTTTAAATCAAGACTTGCTGGGATTCCCACTTTGGTCTTCAGCTAACTGGTGCAAATCTTAGCTCATGCTGATTTTTTGAAAGTTTTTTGGGGGAAGGTTTGGCAGAGTCTCCATCCTGTGTAGAGGTGAAAATGCTTCTGTTGAGTGATGTCTTTCAGAAATAGCAGATCCTAGCTCCTCATTTGTCAATATGATAGACAGATAATCACTTTCCTTATAGTTTTCTTCTTCAACTGTTAGAAAACAGAGTAAGGTCTTCTTATTTGCTTTCCCTTTGTAGTTTTTAAAAAAGAATTATTGTTCTTTATCTCTAGAAAAATACTAGAACTGAGCAGTTTGTTGGTGTAATTGGTTTTCATGAAGAATAGTCTTACCATGTTGTTTTCTTTTCCCACTTTTCCCATTATATCCATCCTAATACTTTTCTCATTGTTTTGTAATAAGCTTCTTAGCAGAATCTTCAGCTTCTTGCAGCAGTGCCTAGTGTATTGCCTAGTGTATTGCCTAGTGTATTGCTTTCTGCAAGATCTTCTAGTTTAGAAACTAGGAGTGAGTGTATGCATTTAAAATTGTACCATACCTTCCTTCAGATGTGACAGACACAAAATTTGCTGTGTTTATTTAAGATTAGTCCTTCAGATCATCTTGCTGTGTTTACTAGTTCACTTTACCAAAAGAGAGGGAAATCACTTAAAAGTGTGTAATTTTTGTTCTGCTAAATAAAGAGCAGTGACAGACCTATGATGATCTTTTGTGCTAGTTCTGTCCCATCATATTGTGCTGCTGATTCTCCAGTTTCTCAGTTCTTCCTGCGTTTTTCCTCCTTCATACTGAGATAATTTTATTCATTATATTCTTGATCTTTTTTCCTTCTCAAAAAGGCCATGGCCTTCCTCTGGGACTTGTTGAACTGTCAGGCAGAACAATCTACCTCATGCGTGCTCCACCCCATTCTACTTGGTCTTCATTTTCACAATCAAAAAATAAGGAAATTCTTCATGCTTAGCTAATATTTATAGAATATTTGCAGGGATGATTTTTTTCCTCTTCTGTTTCTTTCTGCCTTTTCAGGAAACTTTATTTTCCCTGCAACTTCTAATTTCTGTATCCTTTCATACTACTTTATTTTATTTGTGTTTTATTTGAAAACAAACAAACAAACACAAAGTACCCTGTGGTAGTGTCTATTTTCATCTGTGTCTTCAGACAACATACATTAAATTTGGGTATTTGGAGAGATATATTTAAGTCTTGGGTGTACTTGCCCAGCAACAAAAGGTGTGTCTGCTCGAACTTGGCAAATCCATGCTACCTTTAATCAGGGTAGGGCACATGAAGAAATATTTGAAGAGACATGTTTATGGATTGCCAGCAAAATTTAGTGACAGAGATCTGTGTGTACTGTACATGAGCCTTCACTGCACATTGGTCTTGTTTACTGTCTTGGCTCTAAGCTTTGCATCTTTTACTCTGAGCAGAATGAGCAGGTAAACAGTTGGAGGATTCCTAGCATGTGTTGCCAGAATCTGCACCTCCATTTCTGACATTACTTGCTTAACATCTCTTCAAGTTTGACTCATACTCATATAGCAAATGGCTGGTATCATAACAGTGTTGCTACTTCTCCTGCTGTTTGCCATTGGTCCTGGGCCAGAATTTGCCACAGGGACTGAAGGTATGAGAGTATATGCAGTCCATAGTTACTTGAATTGGAAACCTATTAGAGAGTTTAAAACTGCTGGTAATGTGGGGTCACCATGCCCTGGGAAATGGCAAAGATGTGTGCACATGCTCTCTTTCAGTGGCTGGGAAAGTGGTAGTTTTCAGTAATAAAATGGCACAGGCTGATTGTGACCACTTCTGAGACCAGATACTGATAGAGAAAGCCTTGTTTACCCCTACTGAGGCAGTTGATTACTAATCCCTGTGCTATGTGTGGTGACTGCTCCCATCTAATAAAGAATGTGGCTTTTGCCGTAGTGTATTTACTTTTATAAGTGTGCTGCGGCAAAAGCCATATCCTTTTTGGATAGGAGCAGTCACCATACATAAAACTTTATGGCTTTTGAGTTATCTAAGTGCACGGTTGAGGCATATCTGTATGCTTAGATATCTTATCCATATGTTCTCCCTATGGAATCAATCACCATTAAGTACTTAAAGGCAATCACCTTGACTGTTGGATAATTGTTTCATATAATTTTTTTCCTTAAAAGTTATAACTGTTGTGAAGTCATGTATACCCAATTTCTATTCATACCTATATTTCTTTGGTTTGTTTAAAAATGTGTAGTGTCATGTTTTGGATAAGTGGTATAGCCATTCAAATTACAGACAACGTTGAACTAATGCACAGGAAATCCTTATTACCTGGTCTCTCTTGATCATTAAAGTAACCTCTCTGTGTGTCTATTTGTTTGTAGGAAGTTTAGCATCATACCATGCACCAAATGCTTTAATTAGATTACTTATCTTGGCTGCTGGTGTTTCTTCTTCATTGCTGGTTCAAACAGTAACATGGTGGTCTGGAAACAGTTTACAAAGGTATTTTCTTTTACTGATGGACTTCAACTGATGTTTCTTTACATTAAAAGCTGTTTTGTTTCTTTTTATCCTCCAAATGCCTCACTATTTCAAAAACTGATTCTTACAGGTTCATCAGGATATGGGGCTTCATGCTCGGCAAGATAATGCTCCTTGTTCTTCGTATCTGGTACACATCACTTAATCCAGTCTGGAGCTCACAAGTTGCCAATACTATCATACTGACAATTGGTTTTGTAGCAGCCTTGGAGCAAATTCTTTCAGGTAAGCATATTACAGCAAAGATGGTTGTTAGGAAAATAGCGTAAATATACCTAGCTATGTGTCACTGTGGTTTGATTCTTTGATTTTTTTTTCCTCAACATAGTCTGGTTTAAGACCTACTGCAAGAGCATTGCAGGCTATAGAAGTCATGGGGTACTTTCATCTGCCCGTAATTTGGCAGAACTGGTGTCACAATTCGTACAAGCTGTAGAAAGTTGTTGCTAGAACTGCCTTTTTCCTTATTGCAGTGCCAACAATACGACAGTAACACAAACAAAAGCATAAGATAGACCAATAAAACCAGAATGGATTATTGTCTTTCCAGCATGAAACATTTGTGGTGATTTTGTTGTTATGTTAATTCAATTTGCACTTTGAGTTTCTCTGCCAGTGCATATCTTTTAACAGAGAGGGGGAGACAGGACAAAGTTGGGGAACAGCTGATATGTGAAAAGAAACAGAAAGAACTGGAGGACTGGACAAGTTGTCCTGTTTAAAATTTGCCCAAGTTCTTGGAGTGTTTGTACAGAGTACATAGCAGTGGGGCCAGCATAAGCTGTGGACGTGGTATTGCCAAGGAAGACAGCAAGGCTGGGTTGGTTAATTAAGGCAGCTCATGTTAAATCCTTAGAATCTCCTTCCTTCCTAGTATAACCTTAATGAATTAATTGAAAGATAAAACCTTATCTGTGTGTAAGTGGGTATAAATTAGCATCATGCATATTGTCTGTAAGCTTGCATTACGTGATCTAAATTAAGCTTGAGCTTTCATCAGAATTTAGAAAGGGAATCTGCTGCAGGAGATTAGGAAGGAAATCTGTCTTGTTTATGGGACAAAATGATAGGTCTATGCAATTAAAGGTGCTGCTTTCTCTTTAGATGAGAGAGGTTATAAAGCACATGGATAAAAGGAGAAGGAAAGGAGTTTATTTCTGGCTTATTTGGAAGTGTCAGGTTTTGTTCTTATCAGAGTTTAGAGTTTCAGAGAACAGAAGCCTCTGAACAAATTCCAATAACTTTTCTGCTGATTTTCAAAGCCAATTTAAATATTTAAATTCCAGTATTATGAAAAATAATCAGATGGGCAGGTTGGCATTTCACACTTACGGTGAGTACATTTTCTTGACAGAGCTAGGATTGTTAGTAAAGATTTTTAATTTTTTTGGTGTTATCAATTTCTGATAATACAACCCTAATCAGATAATTTGGCTTTTAAGCATGTAATTTATTCTAGTAAATTTGTGATTTTGGCTATTTCTTTTTCTCAGTAACTCTTGCTAATAGGATTTGACAGTTTGCTTAGCTATTCTATTTCTAGGCGAAAATCATCTTATTTTGATTCTAGGTGGAAACAAGAGGAAACAAGAAACAAACAAAACTGGTAATGTGGTTAGAGAGACTGCTTCCCATCCTCATTGGTTTTTATCAGGGATTGCTTTTGGCAGCCTCATGTTCCTCACTCTGTGGATATTTGGGGAGGTTTCTTTAATTTCTAGATGGGCAGTAAGTGGACATCCACATACAGGTCCAGATCCTAATCCATATGGGTAAGTGCATTATTATTATTATTATTATTATTATTATTATTATTATTATTATTATTATTATTATTATTACAAAATTGTAATCAAAATCCAGTGCTGTAAAACTCAACCCAATGATGGTATAAGAATTTAGACAGAAAAAAATGGATACAGGGTAGTTCACACAGAGGATTAATTCGTCCTTTGAGATATCGCTGAGCATTTTGTCCAGACCTTAAAATTTTCTGATACAAAATTACTTTTATTTCAGCACTAAAATCTTGGTTTGTCACATTTCAAAACAATTTTTCAATTAGGACTGAGGTTCAAGGACTTATGAATGCAGTGCATCTATAACATGCAGTAAATCAGTCTAGCAGTTGGTTTCAGAGAGGAGATGATCAGAGATACATGCACAAAGTATAAATAAACTGTGTGCAATATTAAAAGATATACTTCAGTAGATGTTTTGATTAGTAGGAATGTAGTCTTAATGCTGTGTGTGGTTCATTCCGGTTCCAAATCTAGAAATACACCAGATTAGTTATTCTGAGTCAACTACATGTGATGGCAGGTGACACAGTTTATAATTTGGAATTGGTATACAAAAGATCTCACCAAGACTGACAGCAGTGTTAGATACTGTAGGATTCCTTATTTGACATGAAGAAAATACTTTCGTTTGGGGTGGATTCTTCCTTCTCCTTTTCCCTGAATTGTTTTTGCCTTTTGTACCAAGATTTCAGGGGACTGCTTTTGCTGCTGAACACAGCTCACTTATACATTACAGTAAATGCCATTATTTTTACATCCAATAAAGGGAAGAAAACGTTGCCGGGTATGAGCAAAATTTAGTTTTGTTTAAAGTACAAGAGTTATACAGGACCCTGGTCTGTATATCTAGAAGTTTCTTTTTCAATGCCAAGTGTTTTTAAAATCATATTAGTGCATGTTTTCTTTTTCCTTATTGTTGTATCAGAGGTACAGTTCTGTTGGGCCTTGCTCATGGATTGATGCTTTCATTTTGGAGCTGGTCTTCTGTCATCAGTTTTGCCTTGTTTCTCATAGGTAAGTGCAAATCCTGAGCAGAGTTTTCGTCAAAAAAACCCTTACCCTTAGGGATAAGGTAATCTGTTACCTTATTCTCTACCTGACACCACATCTCAGAAAAGTGTGGCTGATCAAAGCCTCCTTTTCTCTTGCCACTTGACTGAAGGTTACAGACCAAATCTCCAGGCCATTGCAGAGCAGTGTTACTGTCTTCAGAAGTCATGTTAAGGTTCTGTTCCCTTGAGCTGCATCTCAGTGTGATCATCTGCATTGTATAACAGTTGGACTTGATGATCATAGAGGTGTTTCCCAGCCTTAGTGATTCTACATTAAGGCCACATCTAGGGTTATGGGGTTGAGATGACAGAAGCCTCTCAATTCCACAGGAGGCAAAATAACTTGTAATTTAGCAAGCAGTCTACTGAAGATAAGCTTGCCTCCTGTCTCTTCATTCGCCAGGCTCTGTAGGCAGTAAAATAGTATGAATAGGCAGGTTTTAGTGTTAAGAAATGTGTGTGCAGATTGTAATGTAAGCATGAGCATTTGATTTTTGATGTACACACATTGCTTATTTAAAACAAGCACAGAAAGGTTCTTTAGTTGATTCCAGCATTGTATTCTGAAATTCTTAGAACTTTGATGTATACGAGTTAAACATTAGAAGTGTTTCTATACATTTGCTTTCATGATGTGACAGTAAATATTCATACCTACAATAATGTTTTAAAATGAGTTTGCCCCATTATAGAGAGGTTCTGTGGTTGTTAATGTTCTGTTTAGGATCAAATCACCATATCAAAGATAGCATGGTAAGTCAAGGATCTTGCAGTTAGTAAAAGATTAATAATTACTTTCTTGCTCATCCTATGGTTATCTACAGGGAAAGATAAGGAAAATATAGGTTTTCTCTTCATATTAATCTATTTGATTCTTTATGTCTTATGGTAAAAAAGATTCATAATTGACAGACCTGTTACTCTCTTAAGAATTGCATCATTCATCTGTTGTGCTGAAAAACTCTAAAAAAAACTGTTCTGTTTTGCCTGTTGATGATGTTTGTCTGCCCTCTTTTTGCTGTACTGTTTTCAGCTGAATAGGTAATGTTTAAAAGAATGAGATATTAGGAAAAATAAAAGACTGTCTTTGGCTACTGTGAATAACTGCCCTTCTAGTGATGCAGTTTTCATGGCTGGAAAGCAGAATTATATTTCCCAGACTCTATTTTTTTTTTTGCAAGCCAGAATACGACAATGAATGTGATAGATGATATACCTGACTGAGACTTACTCTATTCCTTTCTACCCCTTCACAGGTTTGGCATCTTCAGCTGGTCTCCTTTATTTACATACCTGGAGTGCTGCTGTTGCAGGCAACATTCTTGGTCTCTTTACTATGTGTGTGTGGCCTCAACTAGCTGGACACTTTGTCAGCTGTCTGCATCCTGGGAAAGCCATGAGTACAGCCATGTTTGCCTATGTTCTTGAATTATTCTTCTGTGTATGGTGTACAGCTTATAAATTTGTACCTGGAGGAGTTTACCTTAGAGAAAGCTCCCATCTTCTTCTAGGTACATTTGTGGTAATGAACAAATACAAATATGCTTGCTTTAGCCTGAGGCAGACATGTGAAATGTATCTAGTATATAAAGAGTCTTTTCAAATGCTCAGTTACTGTTTACTTGCTTACTGTGGTAAGAATTTCAGTGCAAAAATTAATGAGACATGCAATCTACTTGTTTTTTACTGGTAGAAATAGTCTAAGATGTGGACAGAAAATTGAATTCAGTAAAGGGAAAATGATAAAGTGGAAAAATGTCTGATAACTAAAGCATGCAGTAGAGGAAGAGATCTGTTAATCAATTACCCTAAAAATATGGCTGCAGTCCAGGGTGTGAATGCACAAATATGCTGGCTACCTAAGGTAGCAGTGCCTCAGGTAACAGGGTGCTGCTGGGACTGTAATGTAATTCAGTGCATTATTTAGCATTATTTGCTCTGCAGAGCAAAGTGCAGCATCCTGCTGATCTAGCTAGTTTACATTGGAGACCTGAGCTTCTTTCCCATGTGGCTCTACCTTCTGTTTTGTGGACACACCAGCATATTTGGGGGAATTCAGGTGAGCCTGTAGCATCGTGTGAACCGGACAGGCAGAAAATAAATTGTCAGGTATTTGCAAATAAGGAAGAACTGAGTTGAGCAAATATAAAGGCTTTAGCAAAATGATCACTTGATGAGGGTGGAGAGGTGGAAAGGAAACCAACCCTTCCTGGTTTTGTCTTCAGAACTATTTTCCTAATAGGTTCTAACATGTTTCAATGACATATTTCACTAACTATATTTAAACAATGCCAAACATTGTCTTGGGCTAATTTTGTGGGATGTTTTTTTAAATGTGAAGTATTAGCCTATATTTTATTTGGAAATGAATAATCAGCACTGTGCTTAACTTGTTGCTCCAAAGGTTTCAGATTTCATAGATGTCTTTGCAACCACTTTGTGTCACTCTAGTTTCTTCCTCTCCATGTGTGTTTCTTATATTACAGCATTCACATGAGGGATTTGAGTTCATTATGTTTTGAGGAGAATTTAATTCCATTGTTGCATTATTTCCTTTGTTCTGAAAGCATTCTGAGGAGTCTTTAGAAACAGTTATCTTAGCTAATTAAATTTAATTTTTTGACGTTTTATAAAGGATGCATGTGATAGAGGAATGTCAAATGCTTTCTTGAGTTAAGCTTTCACAAAAGAAATACTTTTATTCAAAATTCCTCTCTGTTACTTCCTTTAAAAAGCACACTTGAGATTCATTTACCTGGCGTGATCACTAGGTAGTAACAGATGGCTCTAATTTTCTCTTTGGTAAAGAAAACTATAAATGGAACACATCTCAGCTGATAGCACTACATGAGTTTAAATTCCATCTGAGAATCCATGTCTTTTTGATTCCATCCCATAGCTTATCAAAGATTATACCATGAGACTGTGTATTTGTTGCTGTTCTTTTACCTTTACAGCTTGGCTTTCTGGCAAACTGCTTGTTTTCTTATGGTTTCTTCCAGGTGCAAGTGCTATTTCTTGCTTTCTTCTCCTGTCCAATATCCTGCCTTTCTCTTGCTGCAGTTTGGGTAGGGAACTGCACCAGGAAAAGTGACAATGAAAGTAAGATCATTATATTCAAAACTTTTTGTGCTGCTTCACTCTGATGTGATATAATGCTGAGGGTTCAGATTCCTGATCTTCATCAACTTTAATGGCTGTGAATCTGTCACTCTTTGAGAATGGTTTTGTGTGTTCCCCCTCGTTGTGTTAGACCCTATGTCCTGGTTTGCAAACTTTCATTACAACTAATGTAACAAGTAAGGGAAATAAAAAAGTACTGAGTAATATTTAGCTATTACTCTGAAGTAAAATATAGCTTCTATAATTAATTAACTATGCCACAAAGATATTAAGGGCATATATCTTCTCCAGCAGAGCTGTTATCCAGTTCATTATCCTCCCATGCTTCCTTTGAAAGTAATTGGATTCTTTATCTCATTAGGGATTGGAAAAGACCTTGTACTATTAGTCTGAGCTACTTGTTGAAAAGATACCATCCCCACACATTGCAACAGTTAGTGCACTGAAGTTGCTTACAGCATTTAAAATGTATCTGTAGATGTATTTAGTTCTCTGTTCTTAAAAAGCAGAGCTATTTCTGTTGGCTCTGGAGTTCCAGAATACAAGTTGCTGCCATGTAAAATTGACCTCCTAACCTGCTGCAATCTGCTTACACTGTTTTATAACA